ATATATTTTATAAAAGTATAACTATTTTTATTATAATAGCTTTAATAAAGCTAGAATTTAAATAATAAGATTTTTTATATTATTTTAATCTAAAAGAATACTTTATATTTTTTTACTTTTTAATAATTATATTTTTATAATTACACTATAAAAAAATTCCTATTTTATAATAAAATAATATTTATTAAATAAATAAAAAAACTATATATATAAAATAATTACATAAGCTAATCTAATTTATTTTCTTTAAAATATTCATTTTCAAGCTCTTTAAAATCCTTTATCCAGCTTTTTAATAATGTTATTTCAGAAACTAGGTTAAAATTTAACCTATTTCTAGCCTTTATTATAATATTATTACTAATAGAAAAAACACTTTCTATAGCAGCAGAGGTAGTTAGAATAGCTAAATAATATTTTACTAAAATAAATAAAATAAGAAATCTATTGTAATTAGACTTCCACCAGTCTAATAAATAATTAATAAATAATAAAATAATAATAATATAATAGTATAATTATAAAATAAAAAATAATATACTAATAATATAATAACATAATTATAAAATAAAAAATAATATAATAATAATATAATAATATAATTATAAAATAGAAAATAATATAATAATAATATAATAATAAATAAATGACTTACATCTTCTAATATAGGATTTTCTTTTAAATATAAAAATATTTTATCTTTAACACTAGTATTAATGCTTAAATAAAATTCTTTATCAGAATCAGATAAATCATTATTATCAGTATTTTTAATAACCCTATTATAATTAAAATCGTCAGCTAATTTATTAAAAAATAAATTAGCTATATTATTATTATTAATTATATTAAAACCATTAACTTTATACCATAATCTAAGATAATAATATTAATTAAATAATAAATATAAAATAATAAAAAATAAAAAATAAAATAATAAATAATAAATTAAATAATAATAAATAAATAACATACTTATTGTATTTTATTTTTAATAAATATAAAATAGAATTATTAATATTAGGGAAAAAGCATAATAAGCCTTTATTTTTAAAATAAATATTTCTAAATCAAGGATCTAAAAATAAATTACAAAAAAACAGCTTATAATAAATTAAACTAAAAGCAGTTATCTTCCTAGGAAAATACTTTTCTAATTTAGTAAAGCTAGATTTAATAGCTTTTATATAAATCTAATAATAAGTAGCCTAATATAAATAAATTAAATATAAATAAATAATTAAATAATAAATAAATAACTTACTAATTTATTATTATATAGCTTTTTAGTATATTTTAAATATAACAATTCTGGCTTATTATTTATTTTATAAATATATAATAAAGCTATAGAAATTATTATATAAAATTAACCTTATAATTTAATAAAAGGCTTTAAAAAAATAAAAAATATAGTTCTTAATTCTTCTAAAGCTTCCCATTCAAAATCAGAAAAATATAACTATAAATAAATTAGCTTTATAAAAATAATATAATAAATAAATAATAAAGATATACCCTTTTAAATTCTTTATTAATTATATTATTATAATAATATATAATAAAGCTTCCTTTAAACTAATTAAAATATTAAGCATATAAAATATTAAATTCCAACGGGTTACATTAT